AATAACAATATAGAAGATCTTGTATAGAAATAGGTAGGTTGTACGCCAACTAAGAAGTTAATTGATGGGGTAATAGCTATTAGTTAGTTTCTAAAATAGTAAAAGTATGACTAAATTGCTAGGGTGGGTGTCATTAAATAATTAGTGTAGCACGACTCTCTTACTGTAATATCTAATTGTAATAAGTTCTATATTAATTAATAAAGATTTATAGCGTATAAGCAATTTACAATAAAAATAAAAATAACCAGCTTATTACATAACGTCAAGAATTATTTTATAATTTTTTTTACATAATAAAGGTATTTTTTCAAATATATACGTACTAAAGTGGTGCAAATTACAAATAAGCTACTTATGTATATATGATGCCAATTTACCTAATATACACAATAATGATGATTATATTACATAATTACTGCTATTGCTATTATGTACTACGTATGTAACATTAGTTGCATAGTTGATTAATATAGGCAACTGGTTAATTAACAACTAGTTGACAACTAACGATTAACCGTAGTTGAACTAGTTGATTATTAATCGGTTAGTTGATTAAAAAATTTTCTAACCGGTTAGTTGGAAAGTTGTCAACTATTCAATTTTCCAACTAACGATTTGGAACACTACTGCTGGGTTGTCACATCAGAGGAAAAGAACATATGCTTTGAAAGTATAGACCAAGAGAAGAGTGTTCTTCAAACGCCTAAGGCCTGGGCTAACCGACTCTTTCAGGTTGCCAGCTGGAAGTAAGGGAGGGACTGATAGAAAATCCAGATAAGAAAACAGTTTAATGTGGATACTGGGGTTGTTGTAAACTGAATAAGGGCAAAGAGTATATAATGGGTGCCTAGTTAGAAAGGTTGGTGCTTGAGAAATGTTCGTAGAATGGCAGCACTCCAAAAGGTGGCATGAAATACGAATACAGAATGGCAGATCAATCAATATGTACTAATTAGAAAGAAGTTATAGAAACATGCAGGTGAATACATGTGTGAGACATGTACTGCTCTGTTAGGTTTACCTCAAGAATAGACTAGCTTAAGTTAGTAAGTCCTAAGGTAGGCAATTGGGTAGATACCAAAATCCATCTGTATATAGTGAGGAATACCCTGGGTTAGAGGGCAGGTGGTGGTAGTTATTACCAGATGGTTTAAAGGGTAATCCCCATAGTTGGGATGTAGGTACAGCAGATAGTGTAGAACTTTTGGGCAGACTACTTAAATTAAGCACCAAAAGCACATGTGTGGCTTGATGTACTATCATTGTAATTACACTATAAGACGTTGTCTATACTCTAATAAAAGTCATAAGGTCACCTTAATATTAAAAAAAAAATTAACAAACTCTTCTTTGTTTTTAACTTCTGACTTTTCCATATTGTTTTTTTTCTCTCTTTTTGCAAGGTTTTATTTTCTAATGTGTTGATATTTATCTCTGTAGAAGTAGTTTAATTATTATGTATTTTTACACATGTTGAAATTTCTGTTACTTCTCTCAGAAATACCATATCTTCTGCTAAGAGCAGGGTTGGCAATAGACTATGTCCATTGAAAATGAAGTTGTCAATGGATTATAATGAACCAATACTATAATCCATTGGTCTATAATTGAATTTTTAGCAAATTTACTTGATTTTAAGGGTAGCAAAAATCTTTAAATTTATGCAGATTAATTATGATTGGTTATCGAGTTTTTGATCATGTAGAATTGTAATTTATACAATTTGTATTTTCTTTTTCTTCTTCAATAAAATTCAATTTCTTAATTGTTCAAATTTTTCTGGTGTTAATTTGTAATATATACTTCTACTGAGTTATATAATTTATTAAGTCCATATTTATAAATAGAGTGTAAATTCTGGTAGCTTGAATTCGTAATTGACTAGCACCAGATTTCTTGATTTTTTCTAACAAAATTCTATTGAATTTTGTCATTAACCAATTATTATGACTATTATCAATAAAGAGCTTTCCTAGATAATATACTATTTCTAATTGTGGAATACGTTTTCTTAATCTTAATATAGGCTCTAATGATTCTATTAAAAGTATCTAATTCATCATTGCCAACAAAAAGAGAAATAGTTAGCGAATGAAGAGTTATCTTCATTAATAGTTGAATTTTCATTATCAAATTGTTTCTAAATTATCTTTTTCGAGATTAGATCTTCCTTCTCTGAATTCATTTTTAGAAAGTTCTCCTAAATTATACTCTTCATCCCATGATATATTATTTTGGAAATATAAAGAATTATGATCAAGATTTATAGTAGTTTTTTGATAAAGTGTATCACATTCTTCATGATTAATGAACTCATTAAAGAAGTCAAATTCTAGAGGGCTTGTAAAAGAACATTCAAGAATTTTATTAATTGAAGTTTCAATTTTAGCTTCATTATTTTCTATGAGAATAATCTTTTCCTGATCAATCTTCAAGTATTTGCCATTGTTATATTCTTGTTTCTATTCATTCAAGAATCGTTGTAATCCTTGTAATGCTTCAATAGAAAATTTTTTAATTTTCCAGCCTAACAAAAGTGGCCAGAACGCTGGTGGCATCTTTTTATTGTAATATATTAATAAATAATTTTCTATTTACATATTAGATATTTACATATTTTCTATTTGTTCAGTTAATAGAGGAATTAAGGTTCAAAGCCTTGATTTCTCTTGAGACCCTACTACTAATAATTGCCAGGATAGAAATTTCTAATCTAACATTGTCCCCCATTTGGTGTTGGTATACCAGCACCAAATTTCATAGACTGCCATTATATTTAGCCACTGGACTGTTGTATAGAACCTTTTCTAAGAAATATTTCTTTTTGTATATATGTCCTTTATAGACTTCTGTCCAGATTGACTTACTTATTCTACATTATACAGCAAATTGTTCTGGGGTCTGGATACTATCCTCACACCAAGGACAGGCTCCCGACTCTGACTGAGATATCTGTTGAAGCCTGTATCCCAGTGGCAAGGCTTTATGGGCGAGTATCCATGTAATATCTCTATTTTTATTATCGATACTTTTATAGGTAATCCAGTCCATTGAAGTATTTTCTTTGAGTATAAGGGTTAGCCCTGGACCAAGGCCATGATGAAAGGGAGGAGACAGAGCCCCTACTTTATTCCAGGCTAGGTAGTATTTCTTTTATCACTTAAAGATTGTGTAATCCTTGATCTTTCTATCTTTGCCCATATAGTATCTCCTGTTAATAGCTTTAGCCATGTTATGATCATCCTGGCCTCTAGCATATTCCCAACCCTTGGGGCTTGAAGACCACCTTTTTTGTAAGAGAGCTGGTAGGTTGCGTATCTTGAGAGCATCTTGGAATTGCCTTTAATCCAAAGAGACATCAGGTCGTTTATCTCTGATATTTGTTTTTTCCTTGGAGAAAGAATGTAAGCCATATACCAGATGCGGAAGAGTATTAGAGACTTTGCAATTAAAATTCTACCCTTGAAGGAGAGATTTCTTGCTGCTAGTTTGGAAAGCGTATTCTTAAGTTTGGTAATTGTGGAGGACTATAAGTCTTTCTTTGGTTGTCCATTTGCATAGATTTTGTATCCAAGTAGCTTGAAGGTGTCCATCTATTCTATGACCTTGAAATCAATTATGTCTGGGAGATTGGCTCTTCTTGCCATTATAGTAAGTGGTACAATTTTTGTCTTTTGATTATTGATCTTTGCGCTTAAGGCTTTTTCATATAAGTCAAACAACCTTCGTATTTTGAGCCAATCTGATGGACTTCCTATTTCTATTGTTAAATCATCTGCATAGGCTATAGATTTGAATGTTTGATTGTATAAGGATATGCCTTGTATGTCTTTATCAATTGCTTGAAGAAAGAGTTCGAAGACCAAAATGTATAGTAGCGGCGAAAGAGGGTCACCCTGTCTCACCCCTCTTTCTACTCTGAAAGGTTCTAATAAGGAGCCTGATTCGAATATATGAGCCTCTTGGTTAGCAAAGAGGTTCTCAACCAAATTTCTGAATTTCAGGTTAAAATTCATTTTCTCAAGGACTAATTGTAGGAAGGTCGATATAGTCAAAAGCTTTTTGTTGGTCCACCAGTAAAAGCCAATGTTGCTTGGTGAGGTCAGTCTGATTTCTCATTATTGTAAGTGCGTCCAATGCTGCATCTGTTATTGACCTTCCCGAAATGAAACCCTGTTGGTGAGCCGGGATTATCAGGCTGCAAATCTTATTTAATCTAGTGGCTATAATCTTCATGAAGATCTTGGCATCACAGTTTACCAGAGAGATCGGTCTCCAGTTGTCGATGTTCTGATTTCTTTGGTATAAGAGTAATTAAGTTTTTATACTATGATTTGGGCAAGAGGCCTGAGTTAAGGACGTGGTTATAGACTGTTTCCAAAACCCAGGAGATTTGTTGTTTGGAAGTTTCCTGATTGTCTCAACTATTTCTTCTTGTGTAAAAGTTCTGCATTTTCTGAGGTTGGAATAGTAGGAAGGTCATTTGTCAGAGTTGTTGCTGCGTCTAAATCAATAGTTTCCTCCTTGTAGAGCTTTGCATATTGTTCTTTGATATACTGCAGGATTTGATCATTACCAAACTCTGATATTTTTAAGTGCTGAGCAACTAGTTCGGGACTTATATCTTGAGAAGAAATATCTTGTTGATTTTTCTCCCTGCTTCATCCAACTAGCCTTAGAGTGTGTTTGCCATCTGTCTGTTAGTTGTAGCAATTCATCCTGAATTTGGAGATTTAAATTATTAACCATTGTATATAGCTGCGTTTGACTTGGATCCTTCACTAGTTTTTCTTTTGATTTGGTTATTTTTCTATTTAGGAGAGCCAAACTGCTTTCTGGGGCTTTGGGTTTTTTGCAAGCTCTTATGATTGATTGAATGCATATTTTGTGCCAGTCCCTGAGTTAAAAAATTGGATTTCTGCTATAACCTCTTTTTCTATAAGTTTATTTTTGAAACAGTGTTTGTCGAATCTCCAAGATGTTGGATTCTTCGGTTTGTCATTAAGATTTAAGGTGCATTTGGCTAACAGGTGATCCGAGTTGCCAAATAAAGTTTCTGTTTTTTCCACAAGTGAGATATAATGCCATAGTTTGGTTGTTCCGTGTGTTTTGGAAGAAAGTCAGAAAAGGTTTGTTCCCTTCAAAAGATGCTGAGTCAGCAAAATTGTTTGTAAGTTTTTTAACTCAGTTTGTTTCTGGGTTTATATTGGTGTTAAAGTCTCCACCCAATATGTTTATCGATTCTTCATCATAAAGAGGTGTCTATCTTTCGAAGAATTCACTTCTGTCCTTACTATTTGGAGGAGTATAAACATTGGTGACTTGGAAGAGGTGATTCTTATAAGCAATTTTTGTTGATATGACTCTCCCTCCATAAGATATCTGAGGGTTTGAAAGCTTTATATCTTTCTTGCTAGCTAATATAGCCGTTTTATCAGCCCAAACTGAATCAAATGGCCATTGTCTTTTAAAGAAGTCTTCTGTATTTTGGTTCTCTGTATTTGTTTCTTGTAAAAAAATTATGTCTAATTTATATGATTTTAGTAAAGTTAAAGTTTTCTGGATTGTTTAACCCTTTTATGTTAAGGGTTGCTATGTAAACTTTTTTGTTTACTGTCATAGAAAAACTATTTTAATTAAGTGGGGATGGATGTCCCCCTTTAGCCCTTTTGTATGGAGAAGTTTTTATGTGAACTTGTCTGGTTTTGTTGTTAACGATCTTTTTTTGTTTCTTATTCATCACCGGAATAAAGCCCTCTTCATCAGCCTCCATTGACTCATTGTCAAGAGGCTTGGAGGATTTTTCTTGATCTTTATAGGCTTGAATGGGATTATTTAGTGTAAGCTCATCTCTTGGAACAACCAAATTCTGGGACTCTATAGAGTTTAGTTCTGGAGATTGTATGTAGACAAAATCTGAAGAGTCAGAGTCCTTGTCTGTTACCATGTCTTGCTCTTTAGAAGAATCTTGTTCCTCTGTGGAAGAGGATGTCACTGATGATTCAACCAAGTCTTTAATTGCACTTTCTAACAAAGCAATAGTGATCTTCTCCTCTTCATTTAGGGGGCTATCTGTTGATTCTGAGAGAATTTCTCTCCTTGTAGGTTCCTCTATAGTTGATTTTGGAGCTGGGATTTCCATATTGGGAGAACCAGCATTACCACTTCGAAGGTTCTTTGTGATTTTGACTTGTTCTTTATATCTACAATAATGGTCTCGAAGAGCAAGAGATTCTTGAAACTGTTTGCAATCCTTCTTAATATGGCCTTCTTGGTCACAGAAAAAACATATACTGGGGGCTGCTCTCCATTCTGTGGTAACCTTATTGTCCCCTACATGAGTAAAACGTGGTAGATTCTTTTCTAAGTCTGGATCATCTGCGGTTTCAAAATTAATGATCCACTAATCCGTTAAATATGGGGTTCCTTTAATCAGAAGAGGTTTGATGGAGTTGATTTTGCCTATGTCTTCAAAGGCCTCCTTGATAAGAGTTAAAACCTGATCTCTGTTATCTAATGGGACATTTCCAATCTTGACTAACAAAAAAGATTTGCGGGCATCTGTTGGGATATAACCCATATAAGTCTTGTTAAAGATTTTTACTCCTTTTGTAGCATATTCTCTAAGCAAGCCAAAGCTTGCAAAAACAATTTCTAGTTGTGAGCGTGATCCTCTTTTAAGATGTTGTTTAATTGCTACAATATCATTTCCTGCACTCTTGTGTAGAGAAGAGACGATTTCATAAAATTAGCTCAGAAGTTGAGATATGTCGATGATAAGTGCATTATCATTCTTAGACTTGATTTAATCCCTTGGGGAGAAAGTAGAGTATGTAGCCTGTCCTCTCGTAAGTTTAGGGAAAAGGTTTGCCCATTGCTTTGGAGGAGAAAATTGAGGTTTCTTGTTGTTGCAAGAATAAGTAGAGTTAATAGTCTCTACTTGCCTATACGGGTTATCCTCTGATATTTGTACCCTGGGTTTGCGTGTTGGTCACGTGATGGGCCTGGAACCACTGGATCTTTTTCAGTTACGTGTTTTGTTTTGATGTTTTGTTTATTCTCTTTGTTTACTTGAAAGGTCTCAAGGATTTTCCTGTTGAACCAGGTCAGCCCAACTTTCTTTCTTGTCTGTTTGCAGAATATTGATGGGGACCTCCAAGAGTTTAAAAGTATTGCTGTTGTTGTTTGTAGTCTTGACTTCCAATAAGGGAAGATTGTTTTTGTCGTTCTCTTCTTTACTAGTGACCTTGACCAGATCTGTCATTTTGAGTTTTTTGTGGGTTGTTCTTGAAAGTGTTAGTTGAAAGAGTCTTCTCTTTTTTGGTATGAGGGCCTTGGCCCTTGCTGGGCTTGACTTGAAAAAGTTTTCTTCTTTGTCTGGAGTAATTATTTTGTGTTTTGTTAAAAACTCTATTTCTGCCAAATGTGTACAGAAAAGAGTTGCGCAGATCTTTTTCCAATAGAGAATTGATTAAGAAATATATTGTCAAAAACTTGTAATTCCATTTTAAATAAATAAATTCATAAATAAAAGAATATAAAAAGTTATATATAAAAGTTAAATAAAAATTATAAAATTTTAAGTTTTAGAAATTTTAAGGATTTGAAAATTTAAGAGATTTTGATGACCAAAGAGTATATTTATAAAAGTCAAGGTTATACGATCTACTAATTTGTGTTATTATTTTGTGTGAGAGGTACAGAGAGATTTTTAATTTCTCTATCGTGATACTATCTTCATGTACAGGGTTTTTTACTTTTTTGCCATAGAAGGTTTGTAGTTTATAAACTCCAAATTCTAATATATCATGAATAATGTAAGGACCCATAAATTGTTCTTCTAATTTTGCCAAAAAAACATTTTTAAGATGAGATCTAGCTACTAATACTTTATCTCCAATTTTCAAAGTATTATGCTTGAGATTTTTATCATGATATTCCTTTTACTAATAAATCTTCTATTTCAAATATTCTTTTTAATAGTGCTTTGTGGAATGACATATCTTCATCTTAATAAGTTTTGATAATGGTTTCAATTGGTAATTTAGCTTCGTGTCCATATATTAAAGAAAATGGAGTAAATTTAGTAGTTCCATGCTTTATAGTTCGATAGGCTAATAATACAGAAGGAAGGATTTCATCTCATTCTTTGTATTTATAGCTTGTAATTTTCACTAGAGCTTCACCAATTGTCCGATTAAATCTTTCTATCAGTCCATTGGTTTGAGGTCAATATGCTGAAGATTTATGATGTTTAATCTGGAATTTTTGGCACAATTCTTTTACAATCTCACTCATAAAATTCTTTCCTTGATCTGAAAGTAATATTTCTGGAGTTTGATGTCTACAAATAATGTCTTCGTAGATAAAATTAGCAATAGTAGTAGCTTTTACATCTGATGTAACTCTTGCTTCAGGCCACTTTGTTAAATAATCCATAGCAACAATGATATATCTATTACCATGTTTTGTTATTGGCAATGGTCCTTTTATATCTATTCCCATTCTATAAAATGGATATTTTACTTCTAATGTTCGTAAAGTTTGGCGTTTAACTTCATATCCTCTTCTTTGACAAATATTACATGTTTGTATATAATTTTTAATGTCTTCATACATTCCAGGCCAATAGAATCTTTCCTTTATTTTGTTATAAGTAGAGGATGGTTGGCTTTTGAAATAGTTTAATTACTCTTTGTGGTTTCTTATTATTTCGATGATATAAAATATTATTTTCTACAAAATATTTCTTGGCTTCTTTTTGTAAACGAGATTTTTCCATAATAGAGATGTCCATAGGATATATGAGATGAGTAAAATAGTTTAATAATTGATTATAATCTTTATTATCTATTGTCTTTGTAAAATTCTGGTAAGCGAGAAAAGAAATCTGCATTTTGATTCTGGCTACCAGCATGATATTTAATATCATACTAATATTCTTGTAAAGTGAGTCTCCATCTTGTAATTCGTTTATTATCATTAATGGTGGTAGAGTTTAAGAGCCATTGTAAAGTCTTGTGATCGGTAACTAGAGTAAATCTCGTTCCATGTATATAATGTCAAAATTATTTACTGCCCAGATTATGCTAAACACTCGAGCTCAACAGTACTATAGTTTTTCTCTGCAGGAAATAATGTTCTGCTTGCATAAGCAATAACATATTTCTTTTTGTCTTTTATTTGAGCGAGTACAGCTCCAATGTCTTGATAGGAAGTATCCGTGAAGCGAGGATATTGGAGTATAGGAGGAGTAATTAATTGTTGTTTAAGCCAATTGAATATTTCTTCATGTTTATCGGTCCAAATAAATTCTACATCCTTTTGTAGTAGTTTATGTAAAGGTGCAGCCTTTTTAGCAAATCCTTCAATAAATCTTCTGTAATAGGAAGCCAGATCTATAAATGCTCTAAGTTGGGTAATGTTTTTGGGTGATAGAAGTTTTTCTAATTTTTCTACCTTTTGTGATCAGGTTTTATCCCATCAATTCCTATGATATATCTTATGAATTGCATCTTATTTGTACAAAAATGACATTTTTCAGAATTAATTCGTAGATTAGCCTTCCTTATTAGTTTAAAAACTTAATTTAAATGTTCTAGATATTGTTTAAATGATTCAGAGTATATATTGACATCATCAATATATACTATCACATATTTTCAGAGAACAGAATTAAAAACTATGTTCATTAATCTTTGAAATATTGAAGGAGCATTACAAAGTCCAAATGGCATAACATTGAACTTATAAAGACCATATTTTGTAATAAATGCTGTCTTTTCTTTATCTTCTTCTTTTACTTGAACTTGCCAATATCTAGAAGTTAAATCTAAAGAAGTAAACTATTTAGCTTTTCCTAAATTATCTAACATTTCATCTATGTGAGGAAGAGGATATGTATCTTTCTTAGTTATAGAATTTAACTTTCTATAATCCACAAAATTGAAGTTTTCTATTTTTTTTTTTTACTAATACTACTGGCGAACTCCAGGGACTTTCGGATTTATGAATTATTCCATTTTTTTCCATCTTTTCTATTTCATTTTTAATATGTTCTTGTTCAATAGGAGGTGCTCAGTATGCTTGTTATTTGATAGGAAAATGGTTTTCAGTATGATCAGTGTGGTAAATAATATTGGTTTGTCTAAGTTCTGAGAATTGAGTTGCAAAAATATCAGAATTTTCTTTTAAAAAATCTTTTATTTTTGTTTCTTGTTCAATGTTTAAATTATTTCCTATCAATGTTGATTTATTTTTAGTAATAGATATTTCTTTAGGTTTTTGTTTTACAACTTTTTGTTCAAGAACCATATCTTCTATTACAGATTTAACTATTTTGAAGATTTTATCTATATTGTTTCTAGGATCTTCACTATTTTCGATTCTTATATTAGATATAAGTTGATTATCAACCATGGTGAAGTATTGGTTAGTTTGAATACAAGTTGAAAAATATCTACTATCATCCAAATCTTCTTCTTCTTCTAGTTCTAATTCCAAATCATTATCTTTTGCTTGTCAATAAGGAATTTTACAAAGTATATTAGGGTCTTCAATCTTTTTCCAACAGGTTATAGGTATATATTTTAAATTATTTTCATCTCCAACTGTCATAAGCCAATTTTAAAATCAATACTAGCTTTAGCTTGATTCAAGTATTCATTCCCAAGTACAACATTATATTCCTTTGACACATATCTACTTGTATTTCTAAATTTTCAAATTTTACAGGTATGTCGAAAACTTTTCTGAGAGGTATGGCTCTATTTCCTATTATATCTATCATTCGAATATTTTCTGGTCCATCAATAGTTTTATTAATTTTATCAAGAAAATGTTTAGATATAACACATCCTTTAGAACCTGTATCAACAAGAATGTTTATTTCTTTTTCATAAACAGTGGCTATAGTAAAGAGAGCATCTTTTACTTCATCTTCTTGTAATTCTTCTTCTTTGTTTACTTGAAAACCTTCAATCTCAATAATATCATTTTCATCTTCATCTTCTATCCATAATTTATAAATTTCATTCAAGTTATTATCCATATTGTTATTAATAAAATTATTAAGTGTCTAAGATATTTAAATAGTAATTATTCAAGTCATCAGAGGGATTTGAATCTTTGACATGCTCACCTTCAGGTAGTGTTCCAAATCATTAGTTGGAAAACCGAATAGTTGACAACTTTCCAACTAACCGGTTAGAAAATTTTTTAATCAACTAACTGATTTGTAATCAACTAGTTCAACTACAGTTAATCGTTAGTTGTCAACTAGTTGTCAATAACCGGTTGCCTATATTAATCAACTACACAACTATTCCACATATTAGTCAATTTAGATTAATCTGATTCTGCATTTTTATAATATTTGATTAGACATATTAAATTTAGATCATGTCACAGTTAGGAAGGATCGTAAAACTTTCAAAGGCAGGTATAAAATAAGAATGTCTTTTACTAATAAAAAAAAGAATTAATATTTATCGTTATATACCCTAAAGGTATATTAAAATTTTTATACATATCTATATTTCTGATTATTGCTTTTTATTTTTATTTTTTTTCTAACATTAGCTAATTTAAACTCATCGCTTTAGGTGTCATCGCCATTTAGGTGTTCTTGTAAGTGTGAATTTTGCTGTTTAGGTGGTTTTACATCTATGTATACTTGCCATCATTACTAGAGTTACTGTAGTTGTGGATTTTGTTGCTTGCTGTTTTTTGTCATCTTGGATTAGGCTTCTTACTTGTAGGTTAGTATAAATTTTGTTGTTTGTGCTAGTGCAAGAACTTTATATTGACTTTTTTAGATCATTTTGCATCAAATAGACTTGCAAAAACACTATGCTAAATTTTCACACTTTCCCAGTAACAAGCTTAGATCAGAAAGAGAAAAAGCACTATACATATGTACTTTGCAAAAAAAGTACCTGTGGGTGCACTTTGCAAAACAGAATGAGATGATGTACTAGTTTATGCATCACGCTGACTTACCTACCTTAGTACAAGAACACCATGCTGGCTTCTTTGGATTTTAGATGAGATAATTTGGCTATAAATCACCACTCAATAATAGATTTACTATATAATCGGTTCAAACTAAGATCTTTTTTACAGCTGTTTTCATAAATTCTGGAACAATTGAAAAAATCGCTGATGACCGAATCGATAAGTTACTGAGTTGGCAACAGATTTAGCTGAATTCAAAAACTTATCGATTCGGTTATCAGCAATTTTTTCAGTTGTTCTGGGTTTTTAATTATATATAATTGCAAAATATAGATATATTTAAAGATGGCTGCATTATAGACCCAGGTTTATTATAGGTTCTAAAATTTATAAAATGTAAAAGACCTGGCCGGGTCTTGTAAAAAAGCACTACTTAAGCTCTAGGGTTAGTATATTAGTTAGTTAGGTTGTAGATTGGGTTTAGGGTTCGAAATGGGTAAGAATGGGTAAAACGGATTAGTGAAGTTACGAATGGTAAATGGATTGGGTTAGGGTTAGGAAAAGGTAAAATGGGATTAAAGTTAGAGTTATAAATAGAGTTTAGAGTTAGAAATTAAATAATATAAATTAAATATGTATCTTTATTAATT